TTTTTCTGAGTGTAGGTAGTGGCCTTGCGAAGGGCTGATCCTCCGTCCAACTAGTCCTACGTACTGTGTAGACACTGAGAAAGCGGACAAGGCCCAACAAAGGGCTGTAAAGTCATAATAATAATAATAAATAGGCGATAATAGAGCTCTTTCAGTGAAATAAGAACTTTATGGTAAGAATATATGAGCGTCTGCCTGTCTCAAAATTTCCTGGGAGTTATTTCAATTTTTCAAAGTTACGGTCGCCATGTTGGAATTTATTAAAACAATTTCTTATGACTTTCAGAAATCGTTGTTGCAGAAAATACACATACAAGTTAAGAGGGCATAAAGGCTGATGGACGTAGCTTATCAATAAGGCGACTATGTTGAATTCCGTGTAAAGGAGACAAATAACTCTGTGGCCTGTAGTCCGCAAACTAACTATACCGACCGAGCGACCGCCGCTTGTCGGCGAAGTTAGTGACAACTATTGCGGATAGAGGGTGTCGCGTGGTCAGTGCAACGGATCCACACGGCCGTTAATCTCTGTTTTCTAAATCGGAGCCGCTATTTCCTTGAAATAGCTCCTCAATTATCCTCACGAGTCTGAGTGGACCACGTTCCAGGCCTACTACTCAGATAATCTGATATCGCCGGGAATCAAACTTGGAACCTCTGGATCTGTATCCAGGAACTCTGACCACTTGACCACAGAGGCGGTCGCAGATAGGAAATAGCTGTATTAATTGGGCCCATTTGAGTAGGCCTATTACCTGAGGACTGAGGCAGATTCAAGTCTCTGAAATATATTTTAAATTTAAAAGATGGTACCATGGATAATGTCCAGAAAGTCAATAGCTGCATTACTACACCATCATAAGAAACTTATATCATGTAGATCTTAATTTTTAAAAAAGCTTTTATCACCGACTAAAATTCGTGAATTTCCATTTGTTAGTGACTTATACCATTACTACCAGGTCCGTGACTTCGACAAGCAAAAATTATTTATGAAAACTATCATGCAGCCTTGTGGAGCGGACTTGGCTAGGGATAGCCTGGATTTTTCTCAGTCACTCTAGGTGCTCATTGTCGGAGCGGAAGTGAGTGTACTGCTAAGTAGCTCGGCGGGTCGGTCTCGCTTTAATGGACTCCTTTCAATTAGCGTCCATATTGCCCCAACAACGATTTGTACACAACCAGCTAGTGACGTCACCTCCCCACAGAACATAAATCTCAAACCAGCGCCAAGCCTCCTTTCCGCACGCGTCCCCGATGTCACTTTAACGGCGGTTCTCTGCACCGCTTCGCGGACAACAGCTAACACTGGACGCTGTCCTGAGCCAGTTGTATCCACCTCACTACCCAACATTGCTAACCTACTTCTTAGTATTAAAGCTTACTTTCCTATTTTTATTCATTCTTCCAACGGCCGTTTTACGAAATATTTCCCCAACACAATTCTCTATATGTTCCTCATTTCCCCCCCTCCCAGCTACACACCAAACATATCGCAGCCTCGAGACTGACTTATGTAACTTAATTTTAATAACTTAAGTTGGGAACTAGTTGCTATAATTGATTGCGTTTAAAACAACATAAATCATATTGTTTAGGTAAACAAATTGTACTTTACATATAGTCAATGGGGGGATTCATGAGGATAATAAAAATTCAATTCAATTCGTGTTTATTTACGTGCAAACTTAACAGCACAGAGGCCAATTACAAAGCCAGCACGAATAAAGAGAAATACACAAAAATAATTAAAAGCAGAATACAAAATATGATAGTCTACATTAATTACACAGTGAGTATGAATAAAGATACAGAAACACACACAGACAAAGCCACAATGTGAGAATTTGAGTTTCAAATAGAGCGGCATACAATAACAACAACAACAACAACAACAATAATAATAATAATAATAACAATAATAATAAATGCAGCGTGTAGTCCCGTTACTATGTCTCAACCTCGAAAGAAGCAATGAAATATCCGCTGCGAGGTAAGAGCAAGCATACCAACTGTTATTGGGTAACGCCTTCGTAAACAAACACGTTCCCACGGGAATGGAGTACAACAATGAAAGGTGTTTCCTACGCGGTCCTTGCCGAGATGTTATACGGAGGGGACGCGTTTAGAAATTAGTCAGTTGTCAGTTGTAAGGGAGTCTGTAAAGAGAAGACTTTTTCGGTGCATTTGAAGAATCCCACTGTTAGAAGCCGTTACCAGGGAACGATCGGTGAAGACACAGCAGACTCAAAAGACTTAGCGTGTGCTGTAATGATTTGTAGACTGTGGAGATCAGCGATGGCGCTGTAATTAAGGTAGTAACGACTCATGTGTGAAGATGGTCAATAAAGCTAATCTTCAATCTAAAACCCGCCGAGAGTCACTCTAACACGTGACAGTAATAATAATTAATTATGTATAACTTCAGGTAAAAGCAATTAAAGTAAATTTGTCCTGTGTTTAATAAAGCACCACACAGTGAAGATGTATGGAGGAGTAGGGGCATAGCTCCATGCATTCTTCCATATTATAATAACAGTACTGTGTTAACGGTGTCACGCTCCAGCCGGTTTGCTTATGGGGAACGAACCCCCAGTACCCACGTGGATAAGAGGCTGGATGTTGTGGAGAAGAGAAAATTCTTTTGCTTCTACCAGGAATAAAACTCAGCCTCCCCGGTAATCCAGCTGGTAGCGTAGTTGTATCAGGTGTCCTATTTATGCATTTCTTTTATTGCTAGTGGGATGGGAGTAAGTCCCTTGTACTGCGGCCATTTCTGGCCTATTGTACCAGCTCCAGATGATAGGTGAGGGTGATTGTGGAGCAATTGGTGGAATGAAGATTGGCAGGGGAAACCGAAGTATTCGGAGAAAACCTCCCCAGCACCACTTTGTCCACCACAAATCCCACTCGACCAGACCCGGGATCGAACCCGGGCCGCCGCGGTTGGAAGCCAACGACTAACCGCTTGAGCAATGGCTCGACCTCCCTATTTATGTAAGAGTTAAAGGTAAAGTTGTCCCTGTGCTTAACTAATTAAGCGCTACGCAATGAAGGCGTATGGGGGAGTGGATGTATAGATCCACATTTTCTTGATCTCGGCACTAGCTCGAGGTGAGTTATCAGCTTCACGACCCGGCCGCTTTATCCCCGTAGAGAGAGCTCCCGGTACCCATTGGATATGAGGTTGGGTGGACCCCAGAGCCGGACTGAACGACGTGGAGAATAGAAAATTCTTGACCCTACGGGGACTCAGACTCCGACCCCTTGGTCGTCCAGCCCATAGCTAGTCTCTATACCGACTGAGCTATCCCGGCTCCCTGTCCTATTTATGTAGGTACGACAAATTGAATAGTCATCATAAGTTCTACCCGAAGAAATTTTTTGTTGCTTTTACAATCATCATCAATAATAAAAAAAGGTCTTTGACTTAATTTGGGTATATGCCGAAAAATGAGAAGATGACGTACTAATTCACCGGCACGGTGTTTGTGCGTTCAACTTCTTTCACGATATCCGTCCATGCATACGAGACAAAATCATATCGTCGACTTGAACCCATGAATCATGACACACGTGCTGTGAGAGAGAACAGGGCACGTAAATACTAACACAAGAAGAACTGCTTGAGGACGTTTAGCCAGGAGCTCAAATCAAAGTTCTTTAATATAACAATTAATGAAGATCATCATTACCCTGCTCATTAAACGTAATAACTTCCTCTATTGGAACAGTTTATAATGCAGTCTCGTAAGTTATGCTCCAATATTCTGTCTAGCCCTTCCATGAGAGTGGAGCTGAGATAGCTCAGTCGGTATAGTGAATAGGCTATGGACTGGACGACTGGAGTTTGATTCCTGGCAGGATCAAGTGATACTTCACTTTTCCACGACTTCAAGGCTGATCCTGGGGCCCATCCAGTCTTCTATCCTTTGGAAGGTAAAGCGGCAGGAACGTGGAGCAGACCAATCACCTCCATCTAATGCCGAGATCATGAATGGTGGAGCTAACCTCCACCCCCCAATATGCATTCTTGACATAGTGCTTAATTAAGTACAAACATCGATTTAACTTAGCATTTCATATATATGGGAGTAGATGTCATATTCTGTGTATGCAAACTCACGAAAGAAAATTATGTGTGTTCAAAGAGATCTTTTTTTTAAATTTTTGTTGTTATTATTTTTAGTCTACTTGGTACTGCGACCAATACTGGCCTATTGTACCAGCCCCAGATAGATGATGGTGATCGTGGAGCAATTGGTGGAACGAAGATTGGCAGGGAAAACCGAAGTACTCGGAGAAAACCTGCCCCAGTGCCACTTTGTCCACCACAAATCCAACATGAACTGACCCGGGATCGAGCCCACCGCAGTGGGAAGCCAGGGACTAACCTCCAGAGTAATGATGTAGCCTTTCAAGGAGATCTGCATTGTGGCTAAATTTGTATCCCCTTCGTAAAGTGAAAGTAAGATGTAGCAACTTCTTAATAACGAATCAGCTGTCAGCATGGTGCACACTTAGCAATATCTTAAGCAGTCATTCTTATAGTAGAGTGCTCTGAAAAACTCCAGCGTGTAAAAGTGGAATTGTAGACCATGGTAAGAAGTTTCGGGAAGGTTAAACTGCAGTATCGGAAGTATAAGAACTCCACTGTGGTCTAGTGGTCAGAGTTCGTGGCTACAGATCCAGAGGTCCCTGATTCGATTCCCGGCGCTCCCATATTTTCTGAGGAGTAGTGGGTCTGGAACGGGGTACACTCAGCCTCATGAGGTTAATTGAGGAGCTACTTGAATGGAAAAGTAGAGGATCCGTGCTAGGAAACCAAAATTAGCGGCCGTGGGGATTCGTTGCGCTGACCACGCGACACCCTCTATCCGCTAAATTTGGCACTAACTTCGCCGACAAGCAGCGGTTGCTCGGTCAGTATAGTTCGCTTAGAGACTAAAGCCACGGAGTTGAAGTTTCATCAGAAGTATAATGAGTGTCATGTATTGCAGGTTGTGGCCCTCAGCACGCCCTCCTCGGCAAGACACGGCGTCCTCGCACGGCCTTCACGAGTCAGCAGCTGCTGGAGCTAGAAAAGCAATTCAGACAGAACAAGTATCTGTCCAGACCCAAGCGCTTCGAAGTCGCTACCAGCCTCATGCTCACGGAGACACAGGTAGGCCTCACGGAGGCAAATACAACATATTTACCTATAAAGAAGTTAAAAAGGGTAAAACTATTCCTGTAAGAGCAGTGAAGGCCCATATGGTTGTGGGATGTCGAGGCTCTCACATTTCCTTGAGACAATGGTCTCACAGATTGGGGTAAGGTTGCTAGCCTTACGTGCCGGCCGCCCTTAATCACCAGGAAAATTCTTGGTACTAATTTCTGTAAGAGCATAAGTCGACCCCATGGCCATATTGCGGCTGGAAGGATTAGATAAATTGAAAGATCCACCTCATCGGGACTCGAACCTGCTACTTTCCGACTTGTAGCATAGTGCCTCAACTAACTATGCTACCGCGTGCCCCATATGTAGAACAATATGGTGCATGTTATGCATTGACAGAGAACATGGACTAGTTACTCGATAACATTAATCATCACGTGATCTCTACATGAAGATACAACAAATAAAAGAGATACGGAAAGAGCAGAGGAGAAGGGAAGGCCAAGAATGAGGGTCAAAAATTTATAAGACGACGCTGAATTTTCAAAGGGCCTCCTCCCATATTTTTATGCAAGTATTTGGAGTTCCTGCCATTCTAAGGCTCGCATAGCCTTAAGTGCCACTGAGACTGATATAATCCAGTAAAACATGTAATTCTAACCGTCGAGACCCAAACGCTTCGAGACTGCTACCAGCCGTATGTTCACAGATAAGCAGGCAAACCTCATGAAGGCCGAAATCTACTTCAGCAGACCAAGAACGTATCAAGGCTCAAATGCCTAGAAGTCACTCTCAGTCTCATGCTCACGGAGACGCAGTCTCACGCACATTTTAATCCACGTAATATGATACAGTGAGACCTTTCCAGACACCAAGAGTTTTGCTGTTGATATAAAGAGAACATCTGCAGTCACGGTAGGGGGTAAGCCGTAGCGTAGCTGGATGAGGCACTATGTTACAAGCCGGAAGGTTCCGGTTTCGACTCCCGATGAGGTCATTGGATATTTAAATTGACGTAATCCTTCCAGCCGCATTATGGCCCTGTGGTCGACTCAGCCTCTAACAGAAATGAGTAACAGGAATCGTCCTGGGGTTAAAGGGCGGCTGGCGCGTAAGGCTGACAACTTCACCGCCATCTGTGAGCAGATTGCTAGAAGATGTGGGAGCCGCGACGTCACACAAATATATGGGCCTCCATGGCCCGTTATATGGACATCCAGGTCATTCAATGACGTCATTTCCAACAAAAGCAGTCTCGGACAACAATGAAAGCCGGTTACGATACTGTCCAACGTCGCGCCCGGCGGGCTACAGTGAGAGTCAGTTTTGAAGCACTTTGATCTTGGTTTTGTTGCAACGCGGGCTCCCAATATGGAGTCTATAGACCGAGTTACAATATATACAGATATCACTGAGTGGCATGTAAAATCTCGTGGGTAATGAGGAATATAAACTACAGCATGGCGACTACGTAAATTCCATATTTGCTTTACTGCTTGACACCAACTGCCAATATATCAATAAGCGTTTTGCATCTAAAATTGGGTGGGTAGTTTTATCACAAACGTATTGAGACGTGTACACCCACTGATAGGCAACGACTCGGTAAACAAGTTCCCGTGATAAAGACGCCTCAACAATAGAGAGACTGTTTTCTACGTGGTCCGCGCCGTGACCATTGCTATGCAATGGTGCTGAAACACGGCTAAAACAATACGGAACAACAGAAGACAGAATTTTCTATGGGGTCCTTGCAAAGTGTTTATAAAGAAGAATTAAACTGAGCAGTATAAAGTCGAGAAGCCAGCCTGCCAGGATATGAGCTTGGGAGCAGAATAAATGAACTGAGTCGAGCCTTCGGGATTGGCAGTTGCAGAATAACGACAAGAAAGGAATTGGGCTATTAAAAGAAGACTTCATGTGTGATGTGAAGTGATGGTGAGACTATGATAAATCCGCTGCCAGGATAGGACTAGTGAAGGCTGAGAACCCTAGTGAGTGTGTAACAGTGAACTGTAAAGTGTGTAGACCAGCAATAGCGAGCGCTGTATTGCCTGTAGTCCCGAGTTGTGTGTATAAGACATCAATAAATCCAACCGGCTAATCCAAAACCCGTCTTATAAATCACGCACCTCCCTACCCGTGATAATATGATGCGTGTATCTATAAAATTCGCATTAAAATTTATAAGCTGAAAATTACAAACGTCTTCAGCAGTGGAACAATTTGAGGCTATATCCGACAGTTTCAATGCAGTGAGAATTTACATTTGTATAGGCTTATTTGTGAAATGTGTGAGGAGAAACATATATTTAATTGTAAAATTATTAATTTATAAAGACTTATAGCTTAGGATTTGAACATTTTTAGTAAAATTTGGGTCATATTCCTTCTGTTAGTGATTTCTTCAACATTAAAGCTAATCGAAAAGTATTTTAATCAGTTCACAGCTATATTAAACGATTAATCGCTTGCATATCGATCAACAGGGACGTTTACTTGTCTGGAGGAACCTTGATGTGTGCAGCCATGTCTTGAGGCGTAATCCGGAAATATGGGCAGCTTCATAACGGCTGTGTTTGCATATGGGCTTAGCGAGGATGTTCAGTTAATTGGTGTCTCCTCTTACTCGATACAAGCCGAAGATTCTGATTTGAAATAGTTAACAACTGGAGTATCTACATATTCCGGAGCAAATGTTAGAGAGCCTACACGCTTAGAAACGTTGCATGCGCTTATTGCAGGATCTGAGATAAGCGACTAATTTAATCACAGGAACAGTATACGCTTTGTAACGTGTGTGTTATCGCTTCTTCTGTAAAGGACTCTACATGGTGAACCGAAGATATATTTCTATATGTTTCAAAACGCGAGAATGCTATGGATTATCCGTTAACTTAGTTATGAACCCGTCATTCAAAAAATAAATTACTGAAAAATTTGCAAAATTTGGAGCCTAGATAGACTTGAAAGGATTCTGACGATGGTGTATACTGTACTTCTTTTGGCTTCTTTTGGACTTTACCCATCGTCTAGTATGTAAAAGACAAAAGACCACGACGTTTCGGAGACTCGATCTGTCTCCATCTTCAGGTGGGTAGGGAAGGATAAACCTACTCAGTTGGGCCCGTTAGAAAGAGCTAGTCTCAATCACTGGACCAGTGGTCGTGGTGTTTTGCCTTTTACATACCAGACGATGGCTGAAGTCCAAAATAAGCCAAAATAAGTATTTGGAGCCTAGATAGTTTAGTCGATACAGCGACGGGCTACGAACTTGACGGTCAGTGTTCGAATGCCTACAAGGACAAGAGAGATTTTCTCTTCACCATAGCCTCCAGATTGCCTCTGGGGCCCACCCAGCCTCAACAAATTATGCTACCGGCTACTTAACGAAATTCCCGAGAAAGTCATTACAGGAATGACAAGATGTGGCATGCAAAGCGATACAGCACGCGCAATTAACCGAAAAGTTTCATCAAGTGTCATGGATGTGAGAAGAGCGGTAGACTATAGCGTTTATGTTCTTTAAAGGAAAACTACACTACATTACACCCCTTTCCGTACAAAGTGTAACTGAGGGATCCTTGGAGAACGACTTAACAGAAAAAAATTGTCAATACCTGATTTTAGTCCTGGTCATTCTCAGCAGAATGCGCCGTAGAACTGGCAGAGTCACTGAGATAAGGTTTGTATGTTGTAGGGGATATAACAGGGCCTTACAATGCGTCTCCCTTCCTGTCACAGTACAGCTGCAACCAGTGCCCCGCTACTACTTGCCACATTCCTCACTTCTCCACACGCGCAACCCAGAAGTCGAGGCTCTGCCATAACTCAGGCGGTTAGTCGCAGGCTTCCCACCGCGGCGGCCCGGGTTCGATTCCAGGTCAGGTCATGTGGGATTGTGGTGGACAAGATGGTGCTGGGACAGGTTTTCTCTGAGTACTTCGGTGTCCTCTGCTAATACTCGTTCCACCGGCTGTTACACACTCATCATCTATCATCCGAGGCTGGTACAATAGGCCAAACAGTGGCCGACGTACCAAGTGAACTATTTTTTTTTATTGCTAGTGGGGTGGGACTAAGTCCCTTGTACTGCGGTCACTTCTGGCCTATTGTACCAACCCCAGATGATAGGTGAGGGTGATTGTGGAGCAATTGGTGGATTGAAGATTGGCAGGGGAAACCGAAGTACTCGGAGAAAACCTGCCCCAGCGCCAATTTTTCCGCCACAAATCCCACTTGACCAGACCCGGGATCGAACCCGGGCCGCCATGATGGGAAGCCACCGACTAACCGCTTGAGCTATGGCGCGGCCAAGTGGACTAAATTTCACCCCTTTCCAACAAAAGAAAAACAGAAGTCAGATCTGTGAATATGGCTTTACTTAGGGCGACAGCACACCAACTGCGTCAGGACAAGCGTCAAGACATGAGATAAATGACGCAGTCTTGTTGTTTTGCTTTATACATGATTGGTCAGCATGAAGCTGACGTCAGCATCATGACTCAGACCGGTGTGCGGCGATTTTCATAATCTCATTCGTTTCAACTGTGCTCCTTTCTTTGCGTCATGACGCAGACATCGTGTCTTGACTGTTACACGTCTTGACGCATGCCGGTGTGCGGCCTACCTTAGCATTCGCCACTGATTTTACTGTTACGTTTTTGTCGGAAACGTCTACTCTTTGCTTTCAGGTCAAGATCTGGTTCCAGAATCGCAGGATGAAGTGGAAGCGCAGTAAGAAGGCACAGCAGGAAGCCAAAGCAAAAGATGAGGCTGAGAAACGCAAATCCACATCTGGCGCCAGCAGTGGGAGCGCGCCGATGGAGAGCAAAGTGAAGGAGCCACTGCACGGTAGCGAGTCTGCAGGCCAGCAGACAGCCTCCAGCAGGAGCGGGAGTCCTGCCACCGTGGACAGTCACACCACCAGCTCTGTGACCGCGGCCACCAATCTCGTGCTGGAGCAGAACTTCCAGCCACAAGGTACCGCCACCAGAGTGCACCATCTGCACCACCACCACCTGCAGAACCATCACCGGCGACTCAGTCTGCAAGATGGCGGCGAGGCTCTTTATAGGCCCTACGTTGTGTGAACAGAAGACTGACACTTTCATAAAGGCTGATTGAATACACTCGATAAGAGCAACTGAACTTGTAGCAACGCTGCTTGGTGAACACACGTGATGTTCTTCCAGACCTTGTTCCGAAAGCAGTGAAGGTCAATTTTTAAGTATAAATAAACGTGAACTTCTGGTGGGCACTTTCAGAATGGTGGGTACATTAGTATGCGTGGTCAGTGCATAGGCTATTCCCCTGGTCTTCACGTGTCAAAGAAAAAGGGCTCACCTTGAAATAAACTCTAGATATATAAATTTACTGATGTCCAGAAGAAATGAAGCACTCTTCCCTTGAGATATTTTAGGGTACGCTGTATTGCCTACGTCGATAATTATTCCAGTATGTCGAAATGACGGGTGGGACACCCCTTATAAGAATTCCGATATGCCTACTGTAGAGGCCATAACTAATGCATCTGTGAGACACAAAGGCTTGTTTACAAAGAGGTATGAATTTATGTACTTCTGTTTTGAAAACGTTACTAGACAAATTCTGAAGCTGAAAGCTAAAACTTCTTCTTAACAGTCCATTAATAGAAAGAAAAAAAAAATATAGGGTCTCTGTGAAACTAAGAATTTGGTACCAACACTAACACAAATATTGACTTACGTTGGTTATGTCATTCTTACTCCGATGACTATGAAGAATAATATCATGCTGGATGTGACGCCTTGTAGTCTGGTAGAAGTTCACCGACGTCTCATACGAGCGCACCGCCTCCATTTTCAGAATTTAATAGCAAGCAAGTGGGGGCACGCGATGGCGTAGTTGGTTCAGCCACTATGCTACAAGCCGGAAGGTCGCGGGTTAGAGTCCCGACGAGGTGGATCTTTTTCAGTTAACATAATACTTCCAGCAGCACTATGGCCCTGGGTTCGACTCAGCCTCTAACAGAAATAAGTACCAGGAATCTTCCCGGGGGGGGGGTAAAAGGCGGCCGGCGCGTAAGGCTTACAACTTCACTGCCATCTGTGAGCCGATTGTCTAGAAGATGTGGAAGCCTAGACGTCTCACAGCCCTATGGGCCTCTACGGCCTGTTACAGGGATAGCTTTAACTTCTTACATGTAAGAGTAAACAAATTAAGCAGCCAGCAAACAGGCGTCTTGCTGCTTGCTGACGGGCTGACCCTTCTACTTTGAAAATGGATGCAGTGTGCTCCTACAAGAATTCGGCGAACTTCTGCCAGACTACAAGGCGTCACATCCAGTATGATAACACTCTTCAAATATTGAATTAATTCTGTGCGTTAGGAGAAATGACTAAATTTTCAAAAGGACCTCAATGAAGTTTATTACAGCGGAATTAAATAATCTCACATTTGCAGAGAGCAGCATAACGATGACAGAAACAGCAACTTGATTCATTTGTGCGATATGCTTCAACTAATTTAGTAGCTCAACACAATATAAGAAAACTTGGGTAAAAACACTGAGTTACTATTGCAATATAAGACAATAACATTGACGCAAAATCAAACAAAATAAACCATTCGGTCTACATCCATTTCTAAGACCATCAGAAATGAATGAAAATAAACAACAGCCAATTCATTACATAACGAACAGAATAAAGCGTGAAATTTAATTAACGTCAATTTGTATCCTGTCTACTAACCGTTTTGTATTGACAACAAATTTCTTATGTAAGATTTGAGGTTTTCACGGTGGTGACTATGAAGAAAGCAGTCTTCTGGGATTTGGCACCGTGTATATGTGGTGTTAACCGACGTTTCGGAGGAACGTATCGCCTCCATCTTCAGGGTAGAAAAAAATATAAGAAATCCGCAAGCGAAGAAACCGTGAGAACCGGTAAAAGCTTTAACCGGTTCTCACGGTCTCTTCGCTTGCGGCTTTCTTTATTTTTTTCTACCCTGAAGATGGAGGCGATACGTTCCTCCGAAAGGTCGGTTAACACCACATATACACGGTGCCAAATCCCAGAAGACTGCTTTCTTCAATAAATTTCTTGTTCCTTTTGTTGTTTCAAGGTCCTCATTATTAAGCCTGTTCAGTAGTAAATAATATCTGTAAGCAGATATGACATTAGGCTATTTATTATTGTTGTAAAGACCCAAGAAATTTTCTAATGTAAAGGGTTCAATTGTATTGATGAAGTGAGTTGGAATATGAGCAAATGTGGAACCGAGAGGCCGTGATGTGAACTGCCATGTGCAGAGGCTAATAACTCTATAGATCTCAATCGTGTGTGTAAATAAGACAATGTTGTGTGAAGTGTGCTGTAGGCCTAAAGATATTTAAAAATAACAATAGTGGTCTAGTCTTCACTATCATTCCTCTTAGCTGTATACCGTCTCCAGATGCTGTCCGACTACAAAGCGCCAACTGCAAGTTATTGGTTGTAACTTCCAATAGGTTTCATCCTAATTTCATTTAAAATTAGGAGCAGGGATAGCTCAGTCAGTAAAGCGGTTGCCTACAGGCTGGACGACTGAGGGGTCGCAGTTCGAGTCCCGATATGGTCAAGAATTTTCACTTCTCCATGACGTCCACACCGGCTCTGAGGTTCAGTCAATCTCCTATCCAATGGGCACCGGAGGCTCTTTATCCGGGGGTAAAACGGCAGGGGCATGAAGCTGATCACTCACCTCCAGTTAGTGCCGAGAACAAGAAAATGTGGATCTATACATCCACTCCACCATACGCCTTCATAGTGCAGTGTTTAAATAATTAAGCAGAGGGACAACTTTACCTTATCTTCCTCTAAAATTTATTCGAGGTTTGTGCTATAACCACATTCATTTATGTCCGATTGTCATCTCTGAAATTTTTTGAAAAAACTGAAGGATTTTCATAAAATTTCTTATGGACATCATGTCCCTGGAGGATATGCTTCGTACTTCCTTAACATCAGTAGTAACAACAAAGCAATCGCACGAGCACCCTACCCAGGCTTCACATTACGGCACGCGGATAAGGTCACATTATACATTTATATTTGGAGAAAATATATTTGATGGTAAATTAACTCCTTCACACGCGTCTGTTCATCGTACTCCGTGACATTTCGCGCTGTTTGCGGTACTATTTTCTTGCGGCCAATTTATATATCTTAGCCGCATTATGGGAACGCAAGACATCGCAAAGCACAAAATGTATGAAGGGAAAAGTCGTGAGAAGTGGGAAAGGTTGTTACAGGAAATAAGGGAAAATAGTTCTGCATAAAATTTACACGAAACTAGATGTTAAAACGGTACAGAGACCAGTTTAAACCGCACGTCCGAATATTGTTATTTACTCTGAGATAATACAATTAATAATAATAATAATAATAATAATAATAATAATAATAATGATGATAATAATAAGGTAAAGGAAAAAAGATAAAGCTATCCCTGTAACAGACCGTGGAGGCCCGTAGGGTTGCGAGACATTGAGGATCCCACATTATCTAGACAATCGGCTCAAACATGACGGTAAGGCTGTCAGCCTTACGCGCCGGCCACCTTTTACTCCCAGAAATATTCCTGGTACTCATTTATGTTGGAGGCTAAGTAGTTTCCAGGGCCACAGTGGGGCTGGAAAAATTAGTTCAATTGAAAAAAATTCAAGTCATCGGGACTCGAACTTGCGACTTTCCGGCTTGTAGGATACTGCCTCAACCAACTTCGCTACCGCGTGTCCAATAATAATAATAATGGCATTTCAGGAACAAAAAGAGGGAATATCTGAAAGACAAAACTGATGAGCTTGCAATGAACAGTAAGAACAAGAACATTAGAGACCTGTATAGAGGAATAAATGACTTAAGAGGGGTTACCAGCCTAGCAGTAACTCAGTGAAGGATGAGAATGGTGATCTGCTTGCAGATTCCCACAACATTTTGAATAGGTGGAGGAACTACTTCTCTCAGTTATTGAATGTACATAGGGTCAGTGATGTTAGGCAGACAGAAATGCACACAGCTGAGCAATTAATACTTATCCCAGCCCTTTTGAGGTTGAAAGTGCTATTGTAAAATTGAAAAGGTATAAATCGCCAGGTAGTGATGAAATGCTGGCAGAACTTATTCAAGCAGGAGGCGAAATATTTCGTTCTAAGATCCATAAGCTAATTCCTTCTATTTGGCATAAGGAAAAATTGCCAGATCAGTGGAAGGAGTTTATTATTGTACCAATGCACAAGAAGGGTGATAAAACTGACTGTAGTAATTATCGGGGGATGTCACTGCTATCAACTTCATATAAAATTTTGTCCAATAATCGTCTTTCAAGGTTAAGTCCATATATAGATGAAATTATTGGGGATCATCAGTGTGGGTGTCGACATAAGAGATCAACTACAGATCAGATCTTTTGCATTCGTCACATATTGGAGAAAAAAGTGTGAGAACCATGAGACAGCACATCAGCTTTTCCTAGACTTCAAGAAAGCCTATGATTCAGATAGGAGGGAAGTATTGTACAATATTCTGATAAGAGTTTGGGATACCCATGAAACTAGTTAGGTTGATTAAAATGCGTTTAAACGAAACGTATAGTAAAGTCCGTGTAGGTAAACATTTGTCTGATAAATTTCCTATACAGAATGGTCTAAAACAAGGAGATGCTTTATCGCCACTCCTTTTCAGCTTTGCTTTAGAATATGCCATTAGGAAGGTCCAGGGAAGCCAGGTGAGGCTGAAATTAAACGGGACACATCAGCTGTTGGCCTATGCCGATGATGTGAATCTACTGGGTGATAATGTAGATACCACGCACGCCGTAGAGTAGTTTGTTGAGGGTGTATGCTACAAACTGGAAGGTCGCGGGTTCGAGTCCCGATGAGATTTTTTTTTCAACTTACCTATTCTTTCCAGCAGAACTATGGCCCTGGGATCGTCTCAGCCTCTAACATAAATTATTACCAGGAATCTTCCTGACGGTTAAATGGCGGCCGGCGCATTAGGCTGACAACCTTACTGCCATCCACGAGCCGATTGTCTATAGAAAATGTGGGACCCTGAACGTCTCACAACCCTATGGGCCTTTACGGCCTGTTACAGGGATAATTTTACCTTATGTATAATAGTGGTGGTCCCTACAGTGTATCTTGTAGGTGTTCGCTTGTAGACTCCGTCGGGCTGACTGAAATTGAAAACAGTTCCGCAGCGACTTATGTGGTTACTGCACCTCGTAGGCCGCGCCATAGCTCAAGCGGTTAGTCGCTGGCTTCCTACCGCGGCGGCCCGCGTTCGATCCCGGGTCTGGTCAAATGGGATTTGTGGTGGACGAAGTGGTGCTGGGGCACGTTTTCTCCGACTACTTCGATTTCCCCTGCCAATCTTCATTCCACGAAATTCTCCATCATCATAATCACCCGGGGCAGGTACAATAGGCCAATCAGCGGCCGACGTGCCGAGTGGACCCAGTTGGACTCCACGCCCCCACCTTCCTCGCTAAATTGAAATTCATCGGCTTTTGTTCAATATCGCTTGATGAAAACCTTCTGCTACGCCAATTAAAGATCTAAACGAAATTCTAAATGTGTACTGGATAGAAACACATTCGAAG